AGCTCTCCCGGCACCTCCTGGAGACGCAGGCCGAGCTTGTGATCTGCCTGCTCCGCTCTGTGCCCGCCGAGCAGCAATGTCTGGAGGGAAACTGGCTCCTGCAACAGGAGAGCCAGCACCATCCTGGAGTGCCGGCCCACGCCCAGCCCGGCAAGAGACTCCACCCATCGGGGATGTCAGACTTAGTGTAGAAAAAACCGTATTTCTGCCACTACCATGGGACTGCTCAGGCGCGGGGCGGGCCCGTGTCCCAGGGTGAAACATGGCAGGTAGGGTAAAGCTGGCCACAAGGGGAAGTGGTTCTTGTGCTCTTCTCACTCTGGCGATCGGCACAGGGGTTTCTGGACGAGATCCTGACAATCTAACCTGCTAGCCTTCAACACACCCTTTCAGATTTTGCCCAATGGGGTCTGGAAACCACACCCCTGGCAGACCTGAAACCACCGCGTTCCAGTTCCATGCGAGAGGGGGACACTGGAAACAGCCACGGTCAAATTCCACTTGGTGAGCACAACCTTGAAAACGCCATATTTAAATTGTGCGTGGCAGGAGACGGAAACGGACCTGGTCAGACTTGCTCAGGGAGACCGTCACACTGCTGTGTTCAGATTCTGCTCAAAGGGAGCTTGAAACCTCCATGATCAGATCCCAGCCCTAGGAACCCTGACTCCACCCAAATCAGGAGTGATTCTGCCCGGTTTTGAAGAAGTTCAGCCGAAGCCGCTGATGCCCAGAGAGACAGGAGCTTTCATTCCCCTTCTCACTCAACTCGCTGCAGCCCCCCTTGAATCACAGGGAGCACCCAGACGTCACATCACTCACCTGCTCTGCACTCGGAGCACGGGCCAGTGTGGGAATCCCTCCTCTCCAGGGAACACAGACCCCACTCACCCAAATGGCAGCAGCACAGATGGGCCCAGCCCCATTGCGATCAGTGACCAGCCTTAGGGGCCACATGGATTTAGTCCCTCTCAGGACCTGGTCAGTCCCAGCCAGTGCAGTATCTGAGCAGGTCACAGTCTTTACCTGGCCCCACCCTGTGCCCCAGGACAGAACTGTTCTCCCCAGTGCAGATCCAGCACACACCGACTCAGGGGATGTCTCCATTTCAGCTGGGAGGTGGGTCTGCCAGCTGGTGGAGACGTGCCCAGGCCAGCTCTGTTGGAGCCCTGTGCAGGCAGCAGCACAGGCAAGCTGCAATCCCAACTGATCATGTATGCGGGCAGCTGGCCAAGGCAACCCTGCTATTTTTGGGTGGGGGCATAAGCAGGCCAAATGGAGACTGACCCTACATGACTTGCCCAAGGTCACAGTCTAGTGCTGAGCAGGGAATAGGACCCAGGTCTCCCATGGGCCTAGGGTCCGACCATCAGCCTCCTTTCCCTGCACAGCCAGGAGCAGGAAAGGGCTTCACGGTGTCATGGAGCCCTATGGGGGGTTCCAGCAGGGCAGGGGAAGAGACATCAGCAGGCTAACAGCCAGTGTCATGCGCACCCACCATGCACAGCTAGCGTCCAGGCCTCCTGACAGCCAGAGCTCTCCCTCCTACGCTGGGACCAGCCCCCGTTTCACAGCCTCTGACTCAGCTCAGCAAGGCCCTGCTCCACCTGAGCCTGAGAGCCCAGCTCCGCGTCACTGATGCGGTGCAGGGCGGGCGAGTCCCCAGGGAGAATGGCTGCATAGGCCCCCGCAGTGGGGAGTTGGATATTTCCCAGCATAGATGAGGAAGGTCTGAAAAGTGTCTTAAAAGATTTTCCTGCTTGGTTTATACATTAGAAATTCAGGACTCATCTGCTGTGCAAGCTTTTGCTGGAGCTCTCTGGATGGCTGGAAAGCCAGCGGGGTTACGACTTTGCAGGTGCCAAGGAGGTGAGAACTTGGCCCCTGAGAGGAAAGAGACAGTGGTCAGACTGTCCAAAGCACTTGAGGGGGGGTGTTAATGGGCATTTAACACAAAGGCCTGAGAAACACTTGGGAGAAAAGTGATCTTTGATCATGCCTTGGCACCTATGCTGCTTTGGTTTCGGGTTCCCAACTCACCACTCTGGGTCCTCGAAGGAAACCTCCAGCAGCAGCACGCAAACTAGACTTCACATACCCAAGATTTCAAAGGGAAAAAAACAAACCCCTCAAATCACCCCTCTTCCAGGTCTCCTTTCTCCATCAGGAGCAGTAAGCAGCATATGCCAATGTCTCCCCCTGTGAAGGTCAGCGCTAAACACCTGAGTCTTTTTCAGTGCCTGAAGATGCCCAGAAATCCTAGACATGGGTTGCCATGGTGACCCTTGGAGGTCATTATCCCAAAGAGATGCCTAGCGACAGATTGCTGGCTGTTAGTGCCATCGCGCCTCCCACCCCTGTTCTAGTGTATGAATTTGTATGTCACTCATGCAGGGTGCTGTTCCCCATGTACAGCTGGGAGTGGAGGTGCAGCCAGGCTAATGACTAATATAGGGAGTGTCTAATGGAGCAGGCACTAGAACTAGGCCCTATTCCCCTCGTACTCACTCCTTGTAACCCAGGAGTAACCCCTCTGGGCCCGATTCCCCTTGCACTCACCTGGTGTAGCCCTGAAGTGACCACACTGGGCTCAATTCCCCTCATACTTACCTGATGTAACCCAGGAGTAATTCCAGGGTCCAATTACCCTTGCACTTACCCAGTGTAACCCAGGAGTAACCCCACTGGGCCCGATTCTCATTCGTGTAACCCAGGAGTAACCCCACTGGGCCCCACTCCCCTCATACTCACTGGTGTAACTCAGAAGTAACCCCACTGGGCCCGATTCCCCTCACACTCACTGGTGTAACCTAGGAGTATCCCCACTGGGCCCGATTCCCCTCACACTCACTGGTGTAACCCAGGAGTAACCCCACTGGGCCCCACTCCCCTCATACTTACTGGTGTAACCCAGAAGTGACCCCACTGGGCCCAATTCCCCTCATACTTACTGGTGTAACCCAGGAGTAACCCCACTGGGCCCAATTCCCCTCACACTCACTGGTGTAACCCAGGGGTAATCCCACGTAGTAAGATGAGTCTGAATATAAGCCCAGGGTTGGTGTTAGACCTGAGGCTTAGGCAACAATGGTCAAGACTTTGCTCATTTAAAACAAAGCTAAGATGTGAGCAAGAGGCAGGCTGGAATTTAGCACGAACAGGGCTGAGAGTGTAAAACACTAATTGGTAAGAGGCACAGATGTAGAACAGTCATTGGTACTAGGTACCAGCTGTAAAACAGTAATTGGTACTGGGCACAGGCTGAAAGCACATTCCAGAAGGATGGTAACAACAGCTTGTTAAGAAGGATCGTGGTACCCACACTCTCCACAGATAGCAGGGACATATGACCCAGGTTCAGGAAAGGGTCTAAAGTGACAGCATGATGGACAGAAAGGTTTTGATCCAACCACCAGGTGCAGCGTGAGGGTGGTATCTAAGTAACGCCAGAGGGTGGCAACACGACACATCAGGAATGATGTGTAGCTTGCATGTACCTGTATATAAAGTTGTGCTGCGGGAGCTGTCTTTGTCTGGGCTGGAGGCAGTGGGACCTTCCACTGGCTGAGCTGGTCCATTGTCAGGGGGTACATATGTATAGGGTTCTACAGCCAACTATGACTGTAGTTCATGTGACAATAAACCAGGCTGGGGACCTACAATCCTTATCTGATTATGTGAGTTTTGGGGGCTGCTGGGTTGACTACTTGCACAAAGCCAACACAACACACAGGAAGTGCACACAGCATGCAACTGAACCATTATCATCACTGAGCGAGCAGGACACCTGTCAGGACACCACAACAGCGACTCCTGATTACAATGCACCCAATTCCCCTCACACTCACCCAGTGTAACCCAAGAGTAACCCCTCTGGGCCTGATTCCCCTTGCATTCACCCAGTGTAACCCAGGAGTAACCCCTCTGGGCCTGATTCCCCTTGCATTCACCCAGTGTAACCCAAGAGTAACCCCTCTGGGCCTGATTCCCCTTGCATTCACCCAGTGTAACCCAAGAGTAACCCCTCTGGGCCTGATTCCCCTTGCATTCACCCAGTGTAACCCAAGAGTAACCCCTCTGGGCCTGATTCCCCTTGCATTCACCCAGTGTAACCCAAGAGTAACCCCTCTGGGCCTGATTCCCCTTGCATTCACCCAGTGTAACCCAGGAGTAACCCCTCTGGGCCTGATTCCCCTTGCATTCACCCAGTGTAACCCAGGAGTAACCCCTCTGGGCCTGATTCCCCTTGCATTCACCCAGTGTAACCCAGGAGTAACCCCTCTGGGCCTGATTCCCCTTGCATTCACCCAGTGTAACCCAGGAGTAACCCCTCTGGGCCTGATTCCCCTTGCATTCACCCAGTGTAACCCAGGAGTAACCCCTCTGGGCCTGATTCCCCTTGCATTCACCCAGTGTAACCCAGGAGTAACCCCTCTGGGCCTGATTCCCCTTGCATTCACCCAGTGTAACCCAGGAGTAACCCCTCTGGGCCTGATTCCCCTTGCATTCACCCAGTGTAACCCAGGAGTAACCCCTCTGGGCCTGATTCCCCTTGCATTCACCCAGTGTAACCCAGGAGTAACCCCTCTGGGCCTGATTCCCCTTGCATTCACCCAGTGTAACCCAGGAGTAACCCCTCTGGGCCTGATTCCCCTTGCATTCACCCAGTGTAACCCAGGAGTAACCCCTCTGGGCCTGATTCCCCTTGCATTCACCCAGTGTAACCCAGGAGTAACCCCTCTGGGCCTGATTCCCCTTGCATTCACCCAGTGTAACCCAGGAGTAACCCCTCTGGGCCTGATTCCCCTTGCATTCACCCAGTGTAACCCAGGAGTAACCCACTGGGCCCGACCCCCCACGCAGTCACCCGGTGTGACTCCCACAGTGCTCACCCCCATGTAAATCAGAAGCGACTCAACTAAGCCGCCTTCCTTGTTAATCTCTGGAGCTCAAGCCCCAATAATCTCACACCCTTCACCCAGCACGTTCCCAACACTCACGTCAGCGGCTTCTCCAAGCGACTTCCTGATGAGCCAACAATCTCTCCCAGCGTGCAGAAGGCCTGGCCCAGGAAATCCTGGTGGGACAACAGACCCTGATGATTACCCAGATTCCTCATCCTTTCTGGGCTGGGACATCCGCCCACACCCCTCAACACTTAGGCCCCGCTAGCGGCCTTAGCTGGTGCAGAGCAAGCCGCTCAGTTTCCGTTGGGAGGCCTGCCTAGGACAAGGTGCCTGCTGTCTCAAAGGGAGTGTTCCCGGTACAATTCCAGAAGGAGACGGCTGGGGAAATATTGTGCATTCAGCACCTGGGGAAACTGCTTTCTTTGCATGGAAATATTTTGGGGGGGGGGGGGGGGGGGGAGTTCAAGGTGGGAACACGGGAAGTCCTGCTCCCCAGGATGGGCATGGTACCTCCAGCCCACCATTGCGTGTGACGTTATTGGATTCTGATATGAACATGCAAACTGTTGTTGCAACCACTGTTATATATTTGCACCAAATCTTGTACAAAGGGGGCCAAGTGCAGTGGCTATAGAAAGCTGATCATTTCCTGATTCTGTTTACACTGCTCATATGCAGGGATGATCTTTGCATCTGAAGTTGAGTATTGGCTCTGTACTTGTATTTCGAATGTTTGCATGTGGGAGATTATCAACAGGCTTTGCCCACCTATTGCAAAAGGCAAAAGACTAGCAGCACTGCACTGACAGTGTGCCTCAGCTGGTGCCAATCTGCATCCGAGGAACTTTGCTGTGAACATTCAGACCAGCCTGTAAGCGATGGCAGCTAAGGACAGGTCACGCCTGGTCAGGTGCCTTGCTAACTCCATTTCACACCGTGAGAACAATGGATTCCCTCCACATGGGCAGGGCTATGAAGAGGACCCGGGGAGTTCCCCCGTCTCAGTGACTGACGGTCTGTCCTAACAAAGGGTGTGTTCCAGAGACTTATAAAACAGCAGATGGAACTTTGTACCTGGGGTTTGTAATTTGACCTTCCTCCCTCTAGAGCAGTGGTCCCCAACCATTTGGGGTTGCCGGGCGCCAGGGGGCGTGGCCGTTCGCCCGCCGGGCGCCCGGGGGGGGCAGGGGCC